CTCCTCAGCCACAAGCCAGGCTGACGGCTGCCAGCACAGTGGCGGTGACGGGAGCCTCTCCTGCTTCCTCAGCAGCGCTAAGGATGTCCGACTGCAGCTTAGGCCTGCTCCCTACTGGCAAGTGGACATCCCCCAAGGGCTCCAGGGCTGCCAGAGGGATGTCTGACTGCCAGCTTAGGCCCGATCCCCAGAGAGCAGGCCTAAGCCAGCAGGTGGACACCCCCTGAGGGTTCCCAGACTGCGAGAGGGCACAGGCCGGGCTGAGGGACCCCCCAAGTGCACAGATTTTTGTGCACCGGGCCTCTAGTGAGAGATAAGAATGGTTATTGTTTGCCAGTAAATTTCAGTGTCATTTGTTCTGCGCAACAGCTAGCAGACACAGCCTGCTTCTGGGGCAGCAGAGGTGAAGTGACAAGTGTCCAGTGGTCACCAGTATATCCTCATCAGACCGGTTTTGTGGCGTGACTGTGGCTACGGTTTGAGGCCAGCGGCCGGTGTTGCTGCTCACTTTCCAATTCTGGTTCTCTAATCACTTCCAGGATTCTGTGAGCGATCGATCTCAACTCCTCTCCATCAATTTCCTTTCTGCCCCAGAGGCGGCTTCTGTTGCTTTGAAACGAAATCTGTGGTGCACCGTTCCAGCTCCATTTACGCTGGAATACCTTCTGCTCATCCCTTCAGTTTCGGCTTGGACATCCCTCCCTCCTGGAAGCCCTCCTTGACCTCCAAGGCTGGGTCAGCTGCCCACGCTGGGCTCCCCCATCCTAGCCCTGCCCACTCTGGATCACCACTGTCGGGGATGGGTCTGTCTCTCCCACTGGATTGTAAGCCCAGGGGGCAGTGATTACTGCTTCATGCTCAGCGTTGTCCAACCAGGGCTGGGCACAGGGTAGGGGCCTGCCTTAAACTTGTTCAGCTTGATTTGGACCAGAAGTCACTGTTACTCTGGGAGAAGGCTCCCAGAGAGGAATAAAGAGAGAGGGATGAGCCCTAGCCTGTTTGGTTCATTGGACAGACCGTCGGCCCTCGGACTGAAGGGTCCTGGGTTCGATCCCAGTCAAGGGCACATGCCTTGGTTGCAGGCTTGATCTTGGGGGACATGCGGGAGACAATTATTTGATGACACATGGACGCTTCTCTCTCTGTCTCCCTCTATCTAAAAAGCAACGCGAAAAATATCCTTAGGTGAGGATTAACAAAACAAAATAGAGAGAGAGAGAGAGAGAGATGAGAACAGATATGGCAAGACTGGGGACATAGCTCTAAGGGGAATGTGTGCTCTTTTTGATGAAGGGACTTAGAACTTGGGTGCCTGGGTCTGACTTTGGGGATTTTTTGCCATGATGGGGAAAGGAGGTAGGCTCTCTCTCTCTCTGAGAACTTGGGAGTTTGAATTCCTGGGTCTGAGGGAGGAGGCTAGGGAGGTGCAGATTCCTGGGTCTGAGGGAGGAGGGGCTGGGAGCCTGGACTCCTGGCCAGCGGGGAGGAGGAGCTGGGTCCCCCATTTGGGGCTTTCTGATCTCAGAGCCCTGGGTTAACCAGGTGGGGCTCAGGGCTCAGGGCTCAGGGCCCACGGGTTTCCGATGCCAAGCTGCCCCCTAGTGGCCGCTGCACGCTCTCCACACACCGGAGGACAGACCAGGCTGGGCAGTAGCAGTTTATTTCCGCTTCATAAACCCCTCCAGCTGGGAAGCCACTGGGGCCCCTTTAGCAGCAGATCTTGTGCCCTGTGAGGCGGAGAGAGAGGTGACTTAGATAAATAATATCATATCCCGGTGGGGTGGGGTGGGAGGGCCATGGGAGGGCACGGGGCAGGGTGGGGGACTCACCTGGCCTCCAGGCCTGGGCAGCGATCATGGGCCCCACAGGAACAGCTGGAGGGGTGACCTTCCCTTTAAGAGTTTCTGTAATGGGGAGTTTGAGGGGGGCTGTTGAATTTTTAGAACCATTTCCCTCCCGCTCCCACGCCCTCTTCCCTCAGACCCAGGAGTTGGGGACCCCGGCTACGCTCTTCACTTACTTTGCAGCCCCCTCCCTGGCCCGGGGCCTGGAGGTGATGTCCCATGGGGCTGAGGCTGAGGCCGAGGTCCTAATTTTTGGCAAAATAAGAGGGGCCCGAAGTTTGGGGAAGGCCGGAGGCCCCTGGAGGGAAGGAGATGAAGACATTTTACAGCTGAGCTGCCGCTGTACTTCATGTCACAGGCCCGGACCGGGTAACAGTGGTGGAGGGGAGCTGGGGGTGGGGATAGGTCTGTTCCCAGAACATGCTGTTTTCCCCCTAAGACCTCTGGCTCGAGTAGGAAGAAGTTTTAATTTGTTTGTCCATCCATCTACCTCCCCCCCGCCCCCAAACACACACATCCACCTACCCATCCACCCACCCACCCACACACCCATCCATCATCCATCCATTCAAACTGTGGCGGGGGATTGAGCCTGCAACCCAGGTAACTGCCCTTGACTGGAATCGAACCTGGGACCCTTGAGTCCGCAGGTCGATGCTCTATCCACTGAGCCAAACCGCGGAGGGCCTTTTGAGCTTTCTTGATTCCTTTTTTTTTTTTTTTTTTTTTTTTTTTACTTTTTTTTTTTTTTTTAGAATCTGAATATTATAAAAATAAATATATTATGCCCTGGCTGGTGGATAGAGCGTCAGCCTGCGGACTGAAGTGTCCCCGGGTTTGATTTCTGTCAAGGGCACATGCCCGGGTTACGGGCTCAATCCCCAGTGGGGGGTGTGCAGGAGGCAGCTGATCAATGAGACTCTCTCATCATTGATGTTTCTCTCTCTCTCCCTGTCCCTGCCTCTCTGAAATCAATAAAAATAAATAAATATTACTCACCATTTGGGTGCTCTTGAATATTTTCAGTTGAAAATTCTCACACACACAAAAAGATTTTAAAGCATCGATAGATGCTTATGGTGTACAAAGGGTTAACACAGCTCCAGGGCCCGCAGCAGCCCCACAGGCGGGAACTGGCATCACACCCATTTTACAGACAAGGGAACTGAGGCTCACAGAAGAGGATGGGCTCTGGAATCTAGAGTCAGGGGCCTTGGTTTCAGTCCTGACCGTCACCTTCGAGTGGGGTGACCTTGAGCCCTCTGAGCGTCAGTGTTCCCCTGCACAATAGGGATCATAACAGTACCCATCTCATTGCGTTTCCAGGACAATTAAGTGAATACATTAAACAGCAGTGCCAGGTGCCCCTCAAGGAATAGAGTCAATAATACCGTGCCGGGCTGGTGTGGCTCAGCGGCTGAGCGTCGACCTGTGAACCAGGAGGTCACGGTTCAACTAACCCGGTCGGGGCACATGCCTGGGTTGCCGGCTTGATCCCCAGAGTGGGGCATGCAGGAGGCGGCCGATCAATGATTCTCTCTTATCACTGATGTTTCTATCTCTCTCTATCCCTTCCTCTCTGAAATCAATAAAAATATATTTAAAAAATAATAATAGTGTAATAATAACTTTGCACAGTGACAGATGGTTACTAGACTTGAACCACTATGTTGCAATGCCAACTCTAACTAGAAATATTTTTTCACAAAGCAGTGCCAGTCACTGTTCGGGAAAAGGGAGTCCCACATGAACTGTTCGCACTATGACCGTCACCTTGCTGGGAAGCCGGGGCCGCCTGGCCTGCCGTGGTTTGAAGAATGGAGGAGTAGGAGTTGCCTGCCCTCGGAATCAGGCAGGGCTTGGGGAGAAGGGGAAAGGGCATGCCGGGCAGAGGGCACAGCCTAGGGCTTAGGCAAAGGGGTGCCCACGTGGCCAGCAGGACCCCTCAGCCTGCCGTTCTGGCTCTGTCCCCCTCATTGTCCTCGGGGAGCCGGCTGAGTGGCTCCTAATGTTTCCATTTGCTTTTGGCTGCAGGTTGGGATCTGTTTTTAGCTTCCCTGGCTGGTCACACTCCCCCCGCCCCCCCTCCCCTTCCTGCTGGCTCTCTTGTTTGCTGTGGTAGAATAATGTTCCCGGACTTCCTGAGTTGTTTGTTTGAAGTCAGCCGGTATCGATCGAATCTGTGTGTACTCGGCCTGAGATGCTCTCAGAGACCTGCCCCTCTCCAGTGGGCCGGGGTCTCGGAAAACCCTGGGGTGGGAGGTGCAGGGTTGGGGGAGAAGGAAGCCAGGCTGGGCTCCCTTGGAAGATAAGCGGGTGATTTTAAGGCCCCGACACTGGCTTTTCCTCTTCTGGGCCGTGTGGGTTTGGGCAGCCGCAGCCGCCTTTCTGGGCTCTGTTCCTCTGAAGAGCGAGGAGAGGAACATTCTGGATGGCATAGGGCTGTTGGGAAGCCTCGGTTCCACTTGCTCATTCAACATCTACTGATTTATTTATTAAAGATATTTCTATTGATTTCAGAGAGGAAGGGAGAGGGTGAGAGAAGAGGGAACATCAATGATAAGAATCACTGATCGGCTGCCTCCTGCACGCCCCCTACGAGGGATCAAGCCTGCCACCTGGGCTTGTGCTCTGACTGGGAATGCCTGGTTCATAGGTTGACGCTCAACCACTGCGCCACACCAGTCGGGCTCGACATCTATTTATTGAGCACCTATTATGTGTCAGGCACTGTTCTAGTCTCGGGCAGTGTCAGGAGAATAAGGCAAAGTCCTCATCTTCAGGAGAGTGATAACCCGCTGATGGTTACCGACAACAACAGAAACTGCCCCCTCTGCCAGGTGATGAGAAGTATGAGAACACAGCGGGCAGGGGCTTGGCAGGACTGGGGCTCTGTGGTCAATAGGGTGGGCACAGAAGGAGAGGATGAGAAAGTGAGCCTGGATACAGGAGATCCAGGCAGAAGGAACCACTTGTGCAAAGGCCCTGGGGCAGGACCTGCCCGGATGCTGGAAGGAGAGCCAGGAAGCCGGAGAAGAGGCCTTGGAGGGATGGACGCCAAATTACACAGCACCTTGTCAACGGGGGCCGAGAGTGAGTGCCTGGCACCCCCGCGGGCCTGGCTGGACTAGGGACCCTGTGGCTGAAGGAGACCCCAGCTGCCCACCTCCGACCAGTGCCTCACTCACCACCTTCAGCTGGCCTGTACTTCTGGGATGCTCAGGAGGCAGATCCGGGCGAGGGGGCAGATCCAGGCGAGGGGGCAGATCCGGGCGAGGGGGCCGGTCCAGGTGAGGGGGCAGGTCCAGACGAGGGGGCAGTGGGGGCGCCGAGGGGACCACCTAGGGGAGACAGGGGGTTATGTCTTCCTGCCTGGCGTCCCAGCACCAGGCCTGTTCCAGACATTGCAGAATGGAGAATGAGGCAGAGTCCTAACCCTCAGGAGGGTTCCGACTGGAGGAGCCATGGTCCCAGGGGAACAGGCCCCTAGGACTCCAGAATCCTGTCCCCGGCCCCTCCTCCCTCAGACCCATGAGTCTGGCCGCCCAGCCCCCTTGTCCCCCGGGCCCCGGAATTTTAGTTCCGGCTCCCGCCTGGCCCTGCTCACCTGCCCCAGCTCGTCCTCGCTGTTTTCCTGGCCATCGCTGCTCCCTGAGTCCTCAGCAGTGGCCCTGGCTTCCGCTGGCCTCCCTTGGGATT